TGTGTGTGTGTGTGTGTGTGTGTGTGTGTGTGTGTGTTTATATATTGGATCGGATTTCCTACATTTTTCAACCGATTTCAACAAAACTTCACAGGACTGCGTAAAATTACCTTGCGGTGGTTCTGACAGCGCCAAAAATTGGAAAACACAATTGCTTTTGCACGAAATCAATTTGAAAACACGATAAAATACGATTCTGTCGCCAGAATGCAACGGGGACAACTCATATCGAGTTATACTTATTATAAAACCCAGGTTGTTTGTTTGTGTGTGTGTTCGTTTATATATGGGATCGGATTTCCTATATTTTTCAACCGATTTCAACAAAACTTCACTTTTTTTTGGCAGGTAGTGTTTCTTATTGTCTTGCACACTTTTTTCTTTATTTTTACATTCAGAATGATTTTAAAATTCCATTTACAAGACAATTGTTTATAATAAAATTCTATTCAATCGATAGACTCATAACGATTGAAAACAATGTTTTTGTTTGATGTTTGGGTTTGACCAATTCGTAAAAAAAAAACCCAAAAAATAAAAAAATAAACTAATTAAGACATGCGTGTCCGTCAACCTTAAACAATAACCTTTGTCAATTTTATTTTTCAGTCTTTATGATGGTCGATACTTGATCTATCTCTTACTGTTACATCCCCGGGCAACGCCGGGCTCTACTGCTAGTGCTAAATAAAATTCATACTGTTCATCAGGGAGTTTTCATTCACACAAAAAAAAAATTCTAAACTCAAACGTAAAAAATAAACATAAGTAACTAATATTGTATACCTATAATAAAAATGTAAACAGAAGGAAAACATAATTGCTGTATCAATTTTTTTTTTTTTTCTTATCCTTCAATGCCAATGTTGAAAAGACATAAAGTAAATCAAGTCAATATTATAATAACCAAGAATATATTGTGCGTGTTTAGTAAGATTACGTATATGAAATTAAATAAAAAGTCAGAAATGCATTAGCTTATCTCATCTGTTCTCACGGAACCCCTGGGGACCTTTTGCAGAACCTTAGGGTTCCAGGGAACCCCGGTTGAGAAACGATGTTCTATAGGATGTTCTGTGAATACTGAAAATCTCCTTAAAGATAAACAAACTTGAAGCAACAGAAGCGTAGTTCTACAGAAGGATGCTGAGAATGCTATGGACACAACATGTGAACAACGGCGAAGTTTTAGACAAAATGGAAATAAAAAAAATCACTTATACTTAATTTCAGAAAAGAAAGAGACAGTGGAACTTTTTAGAAATCATTGTGAGAAAAGAAGGCTTGGAGAATTTGACACTCACAAGACATATTGAAGGCAAGAGGGACCGAGGAAAACAGCGCATCACCTACCTAACGTACTTGCGTAAATCGATGGCAAAAAGACAAAATTTACTAAGAGACATGAAGGACAGGAAATTGCGGTGAGTAATGGTTGCTAACGTCTTGAAGAGACCCCCACTTCGTGTCATCATTCTCAAGTCTAGTTCGGAACGTTCAGCACATTTGTCCTTGAGCACGGTAACACGGAACGTTGAACGTTTAGCAAGAGTTACGAAGCTAGGGCGCATACTGTTTGAAAGTGCACGTGAACTGTAGGATGCGTGATCTGCCCGCCCTCGTGTTGAACAAACTGGTATTCAAAAGTCAAGCATTCTGTAGCGGCATTTCTAAGTTAATTATCCGCGTTTAAACTCTCGTGAACCTTGCGTCTTGAGTTTGATGGATAATAAAGAGCCTGTATTCAACTGATCTCATACTGGGTTTTAATCAAACGAGGAAGTCACTACCATAATTTACAGCCTGTAAGTCGTACCAGCATATAATGAACTCACTAGTTTCCATACTTTTTTTTTGTGTACAGAATCCATAAAGCTATATAAACACAGTTCAGAATAACAACCCATTAGGATCGTAGGGGCACCTCATGTACTGCAGCCATAGAAGAAGTGGCGTTTCTTTGGCAAGGCACCCTAATGAAACATTACCCTCTCTAGGCTGATTTTGAATTCAGATTTGTCCATCTACCAGACCGGTGGCCACCCAAGAATACAGGACCCAGTCTGTTCTGCAATTTTAAGGGAGGGGTAGAAGAGATGGATTCATACCTTTCCCAAGGGTATTAGCTCCTAAGTCAATATACTAAACTCGAGTGGAATTCGAACTCAGCTGTCCGATTTCTCAATTACTCCACCATAACTCCTACAAAGGGGTACGCGAGCAAAAAAAGATTTGAGACACTCTGGCCTAGCAAAATATGTGTTCACAAATATCACTCAACTTCAAATCGCTCAAAGATGTTAACTAAATTTGGTTAGTTAGCGCTGATGATAAATACGCAACTACCTCAGCTACGAGATTATTTATTTGCTGGCAGCTTAATCCTTGACGCATTCTGGGTAAAACAGGTTGCAAACTTTGGAATATTCCTTTAAGTTTTACTTACTATATGGAAATCCTATTTTTTATTACTTTATTTTTCTTCTATTTCAGTTAAATAATGGTCGTGTTTATACTTGAGGCTATAGGAAAATATTGTCAGCGTTTATATTTGCGTCTATATTTAAACATTAGCCCGATGTATGCATGGGTCTAGACAAAAAAACGAGGGGTTTTGTACTTGATTCTATAGGTAAATATTGATCATTTTTATACTTGAGTCTATAAATAAAAATTGATAGGGTCTATACTTATGTCTATAGGTAAACATTAGTTGGATGTATGCTTGAGTAAAGCATACTTGAGTATTTATACTTGACTCTATAGATACAAGAATTTGTCGTCTTTATACTTGAGTCTATAAGTAAATATTGAAAGATTTTGTTTTTGTGTCTATAAGTAAACATAAGTTGGATGTATGCTTGAGTCTATATAAAAAATGTGTTTATAGTTGAGTCTATAGGTAAGTCTATAAGTGTCTTTATACTTAAGTCACTGAGTAAATATTTGTACTTGACTGACGCCGAGATGCCAGATCAGGACCAATAACATCATCGATTCTTTTTTGGAATTTATCAAGAAGCTCTAAATACACCTTCAACACTAATATTTATTACCACTAGCACCACACCCACGATCACTATTAGTACTACCACCACCCCATTATTACTACTAATTGTAGTAATACCACCATTGCTACTACCACTAGCACCACCATCATCACTACGAATACTACCACCACCACCATAGATACTACTAATACAAACGCCAATATTACTAAACTTAACATCATCACTACCACTACTATTACCACCACTACCATCATTAACGTGTAGGTCTCTGAAGATAGTTGTCAACAACCGGTCTTCTGGTGCCCGAGCAATCAACACAAGCGTCCCCCAGGGATCGCTTCTCAGGCCAATCCTATTTTTACTTTAAATAAATGATCTATCTATGAGTATGAGTATTTGTAGGGCACCTCGGCCTGGTGTAATGGTTAGCAAGCTCGTCTTTAGTTACTGCTGTAAAGTGAGTTCGATCCTCACTGGATGCCCTATGCTTTCGGCCTTGTGGCACATCTAAGCTACGCTTGGAAAATCTTTACTCCGACCATTTGTGAATATCTATCTATGCTGATGATACTACGATATATGTGTGCACCTCCAAAACCCTAGGTGACCAGAGATTGATAGCGGATTTCTCTTCTGGTTCAGCTCTAACATCTCAGTAGGGGACAACAACTGGCTGGTTACATTCAATGCCTCGAAAACCAAACTAGTTAGATTCCATTATCGCCGATCGGATCACGCATTACGATAAACGGATGCTCCTTCAGGGAGTCGCCGTGTCTTGAGCGACTGCTGAGCCTTAAACTCAACCCCCCGACCACTTGGGGAATTCGTAGATACGATCCATCGCTAAAGATGCAGAAAAATGCCTCTCCAGCAAGTACCTGACTCCTCGTGCTATTCTGTACTTTTTACAAGAGCCAGATCAGGCCTAAAATGGAGTATAGCTCTCAAATTTGGGCAGGAGATGCCCAGTCCGTAGTTTCAAGTCTCGATAGAGTTCAAAAGCGGGCTCCGTGTCCTTGTGGGTAACAAATTATTTTCCGCCCTACAACCTCTCTCTCACAGACGGAATGCCACCAGCCTCTCAATACTCTATCGCCACTTCCATGACAAGTGCTCAGACGAACTACATTCCTTAGTTCCACGAGTTCTAACCTTCATGACTAACACCCACCATGTTATGCACATTTTAGCGACCCCCCATTCCCTTCGCATTCCATTGATGAGATGTAAGTTCCACTCGAACAGCTTCTTCCAGCGAACCACTCTCTGTGGAACTGACTCCCAAGAGGATGCTTTCCCGATCACTACAATTTTAACCAGTTCAAGTCTAGGGTTAACCATTATATTACTACATAAACTGTGCCTCTTACTCTGTAACCCTCTACCTCGAGTAGCTCCTGGGCCTTGTACTGAGCGTACCTCGCTGTAAAAACATATATGTAGGGTTAACTACTCCACGAATTTAGGTGAATGGATGGTAAGACAAGGATCGTAAAAGATCAAAAGTTATTTAGAACATTATAAGACAGGAAGTTGTGGAGGAACGTTATCGCTCACGTCCTCAAAAAACATGACGCATAGAAAAGTATAGAATATAAACAAGTTAACTTTAACCGCTCGCAACCTGACAAAGGATGCCCTGTTAATATCTCTGACCCATTACTTTTCCCAGAACTTGGACATAAAGTGAAAACTAAAAATAGAACGCCCCCGACCCGTTTTTTTTTTTTTTTTTTTTTTTTTTTTTTTTAAACCCTGAGCTGATTGGATAATAATGATAATTTCTCATCTCAAAAATTCAGGCAGAAATGCCGGTAAAATCTTCGCTGTAAACAGCCAGTAATCAGAGAGTTTGAACTGACAGCAATTCTCTAAACGCGCACACAGACACATTTTAAATATATGATTAGAACGATGGTTCCCGCAGTTACTAAATAAATTTAATGTTCTCGACAACGCAAGAACTTTCCTTCCAGCCAGATATTTTTACACATTGGAAGAGAAAGAAAGAAAGAAAGAAAGAAAGAGAGAAACAAACAAATGGAAGACTAAAGTAAACGATTTTTCCTTACTATTTTTATACGATGTAAAAGAAAGAAAGAAAGAAAGAAACAGACAAACAAACAAATGGAAGACTAAAGGAAACGGTATTTTCTTCCTATTTTTACACACTGAAGAGAAAGAAAGAATGAAAGAAATTGAAGACTAAAGTAAGCGAACTTTCCTTACTATTTTACACGATGTAAAAGAAAGAAAGAAAGAAACAAACAAACAAAGAAATTGAAGACTAAAGTAAGCGAACTTTCCTTACTATTTTACACGATGTAAAAGAAAGAAAGAAAGAAAGAAACAAAGAAATTGAAGAAAAAGAAACAAACAAAGAACTATTTTACACGATGTAAAAGAAAGAAAGAAACAAACAAACAAACAAAGAAATTGAAGACTAAAGTAAGAAACTTTTCCTTGTTTAAACGAAAAAAAAGAAAGAAAGAAAGAAAGAAAGAAAGAAAGAAAGAAAGAAAGAAAGAAAGAAATGGAAGACTACAGTAAACAGTCACACAGACACAAATATCCCGCAGAGTCTGGACTGCCAAATTCGAAGCACATTTCTCGTTCTTTCACACATGAATAACAAAAAATCGACTGCCTTGGCGTGGTATAATGGTTAGCTGAGTAGTGATTTCGTTCCCCACATTCAGATTTGTACCAGAACTAAGCCAAACTCTCCACTGGTTCTCCCTTACTTGATGATTTATGCCTAAACTTAGCGAAGCTTAGTAAATACCAACTCCATACTGACTTCAGAGCGAAATTCGTCTTGTACTTCAAAGTAAGTCTGCCATAAGGCAGCTGTTTCGAGTTCAAATGGGACAGGACGGCCTGCTATTTTTTTTCTCGTGCTGACATAATGAATATAATGCTGTGGATGTTAGCCCAATCTGATGAGATATTAAAATAGTGGATAATTTTGAAAGTGAACATTAATAATCTTCAGAAATTTTACGTCATTGAATCGTTATATATTTCAAAAGAATTATTAATGGTTATATTTTTAATCTGACTTTTTTTATTAATTCAAACGTTATTCTTAGTGGATGCTCGTATTTGAAGTAGACGCCGTATTGTTTTTTTCTTTATTTTAAGTGGTGTATATCACGTCTATTGGCCAATCAACTATCGCACTCGAGGAATCCTAGTTAAGAAGATGTGCTATATATTCATATGTTTGGACATTTCAAACAATAAAAAATTTTTCTCTTCTCTCTCTCTCTCTCTCTCTCTCTCTCTCTCTATATATATATATATATATATATATATATATATATATATATATATATATATATATATATATATATATATGTAAAAATGGATAAATATAAATAAATGTACATGTTCAAATACAAATACATATATATCCTTTGGTGTAAGAAAAAAGTTGAACTGTCGGCGTGAGATACATATATATATATATATATATGTATATGTGTGTGTGTGTGTCTATGTATGTGAGAGTGTCATCCCAAACAAGCACAGAAGAAAATTCCCCCCTCCACCAGACACAAATAATCAAACACAAAACAGCAGAAATAGATCCACTTTTTAAAAAATAAACCAGTAAGTCTGATGATCGCAAAAGTGTGAAACCCAGGGTTACAAACTAATAACCATACAAATGAATATATATATATATATATATATATATATATATATATATATATATATATATATATATATATATATATATATATATATATATATAGAGATGAGAGATGTATGTGTGTGTGTGTGTGTGTGTCTTGACGATTGTGCATAGGCATAAAACTTACTGTCGTCGCTTTTGCATTTACATATGCTCTATCGCTGATATCGAGCACTTTAAGCCACGACTATAGTATACCTTAAATGTATGCCTTGAGATACGAGCGTACCGACAGACGAGTTGTTTTTAGATATGAACTGGAATTCCACCGATATTTTGCCTTGATATACGAATTGAATTCTGAGATAGGAGCGAGTTTCTGTTAAGTTGGCTAGTAAGCGCCAATCTTCGAGAGTATTTCCACTCGCAGTACACGTGTTCACCTCACTCTGGAAGAATCTCTGTCTTTGTTTTTGTTCCCCCCACAACACCTATTTTTTTGCAATTAATGACAACATGGGTCCGAAGAAAGTCAGTGTAAATAGCAGTGCTGAAAAGCCGAAACATATGATTACCTTTAAGGTCAAGCGGGAAATTATAAAACAAAAACGTGAGGGAGGCGTACGATATCACTTGGCTAATTCAAATTAAAACAGAATTTTAAAAGTTTTAAAGTTTATACATTATTCTAATTAAAATGTTTAGAAAATGAGAACAATTATTTTAAAAATTTATTATTCATCGAAAAATTGTTTTTTTTCTTAAGGCCATAGTATCCGTAAGATATTTCATCCATGAACGGAATTAGAAGCATTTGTGATTGAATAATGTCTTAGTTTCATTCCTTTTTTTTTTATTTTACGCACTCAGTTTGACACCTAAACATTTTGAAATGTTCGTATTGGAGATTCCGGCACGAATGCCAAGCAATAAATCATACAGTTTTCAAGTTTTCTGGCGGAGTGAATTGCGTCATGTTGCTTTTTATCTCACAGGTGTTGCCCACCTGAGTCTGCTATACATGGCAGTCGACAAAACAAAAAGCAAATAACGCACATGCGCCAAATTAAAAATATAAAATGGCGACAATTTACCCATCGCATCCTCTGTGTGTGTGTGTATGTATATATATATATATATATATATATATATATATATATATAAAATGACACAACCGTCAGATTGGCGGCTAACTAATCCCTGTCGCTGACTCCTGCTCAGGAGTATCTGTGTGTGTCCAACACCCACAGTTTTCACTTAAAGATGTGGCTTATCTTTCCTCTGACACTGACCGAAGCACTTGTTTATATTCTCCGTAGCCTTGGTGTATCAACTGAGCGTATCGTATCTGCAGCAGCCATTAAAAATAAACTTATCCCCCTTTCAGCAGGGTTGTCCGTCTGCCTGCCATGAAAAAATAACAAACATTGAAAGAAAGATTACATATTAGGATAAAAGGAATATGAAATAAACAAAAATTTATTATGATCTATCATACTCTACTGTTTGTTGTTTTTTGAAGCGCGCAACACACACACACACATATATATATATATATATATATATATATACATATACAAACACACACACACACACATATGTATATATATATATATATATATATATATATATATATATATATATATATATATATATATATATATATATAGTTGAAATGGAAAAATGTTTTTCCAATCAACATTATCATTTGATAAGACACCAGCAGTGTCGAAACAAAATTGCAACTTTTTTTTAAGTATCTTATAACATGCATATGTTATAAATTTGAATAAATATTATAGGCTCTACTACCCTGTATTGAGCACTCTTTTAAGAATACTGTTTTTTCGTTATTGGAAATGTATTCCATGTGTAATAACCCTGTAGTTGATATATATATATATATATATATATATATATATATATATATATATATATATATAATATATGACAAAACTTTCTGGCTGGTTGGGGGGTATCCGTTAGTTTCATTGAACTGGGAAAAAGTTGACGTCTACCCATACGCACGAAACGTGAGACACAGGTAGTTTCAAAATTTTTTTCAAGAATACTTTTGAAAGAATATTTTTCTCAATCTAGCCAAAATCACCTGTATTTTTCTTTTTCTTTTTACTTTTTCTCTCCCTCACCTTTGTCCCTGCGACAATAAAAAATCTACCAAGAATGGTGATATATTGTAAGAGCCTAGACGCAAATGTATCGTGGCTGAACTAGCGATCAAGGCAATTTCCAGACATTTTCGTCTCAATGGATTATTTTCTCTTTTAATCAAAGTTGCATTCCCTGTGTCAAAATTATAGTCTATTTTGTTACGGTGAACAAGCAAGGCGTTTTATGTGTTGTTATTTAAAATGTCCTTTTGTCACATTTTTCTAAATACAGTATTCACCGTGCGTGAGATACATATTATGCCTGTCTCATAAATCCGTCTAAGATTTTTATTATGAATATATTTTAAAATCTTCACAGAATCAAAATCGAAATTATGATCAGATTTAGTTGTGTGTACAAGTAAAGCATTGTTTAAATTACCGAGGCGAATATCTCATTTATGTTCGAAAACACGAGATTTTAGACGAGGCTTCTTTAATATTTCCCCTTTTTTAGCAAGATTAATGCTTGACAAACGTACATATAAGTTTTAGATTAAAATAAAATTCTTTTCATTTTTCATTCAAAATACTATATTTTAGGAATAAGTTTTCACAACATCGCCGACGTGACGCCGACGTGATCATATTGAAACGGAACGCTGATCTTGAAGAATTTCAGTTGTCTGTTTTGATTAGTCTTACTCTTATGTCCATCGTCTTTTCATGTTGAATTAAATATAGTCTAATGTTAATTATGTTTTATGAATATGTCCTGAAGATGGCCTACTAGACCGAAACGTCCGACGTTTACATTATATTAATATTAAAACAGCATAATTGCATATTAGGATTTTTGTTTGTTTTTTCCGTATATTTTTCTTCAGATATATATATATATATATATATATTAATTATATATATATATATATATATATATATATATATATATATATATGAATACAAGATATCTCAGATAGAGTGCTGGTGTTAAAGGCGAAGGATAATATTTATATTTATTAATATATATTTAACTAAACCGTGCGTTGATCCTGTCCTCTGACGAGGGAGTAATAAGCAAACAACATACCAATACGTCAATGTTTAGCTGTTGAAATATCCGGGTAAAATTATTATTTTCTTTTACTGTAGCACGCACACGCATACACACACACACACACACACACACATATATATATATATATATATATATATATATATATATATAGAGAGAAAGAGAGAGAGTTGAAGAGGCACAAAGGCATTTTAAGAGATGTCGTTCAGCAACACATCCGAAGAACACGTGAGCAAAGTTGATTGACAAAAGAAAACGCAATTCGCACTGCAAGAGAAGATATGTAAAGAGGAGTAATAAGAACCACGATTAAAATACAAATTCATTAGTAAAATATTCGTTAACAAAACGAGTGAAAAAAAGAGGGGAAATATACAAATAAAGGCTAAATGGTTCCGAGTGATGTAAAAAAGAAAAGTTATTACTCACACCTCCTAAAAGAGAGAACGAATACAATTCTCTTTTTTGTTTGCACAGAGACGGTTGATGTAATTTAATGTGGACCACCTGCTTCTAGTGAATATATATATATATATATATATATATATATATATATATATATATATATATATATATATATGTAGATAATTAACCAAACCGTGCATTGTTGCCATCCTCTGACGAGGCAGTAATAGACATACCAATACGTAAACGTTTTGCTGCTGAAATATCCGGTTAAAATTATCTTTAGATTACTAACTTTGATTAGGAATTTTTTTTTATCTATTGTCGTTATCTCTAGACGTCATTTACAATTATTTATTGATTTAAACAATTTGCGTAAATTAAACTCATTTTAAAAAGAAAAAAAACATAATAATATATGGATATTTATTTAAATGTATTTTAACAAGCTAGGCACGTTAAGAAGTTTGTTTTTTTTAAGTTTTTCTTGTAAACTAAAACGGTAATTCAAATAAAAAAGCAGCTATATAAGTTTCAAAATTCAGAGAAAAATTTAAACTGATTTTTTTTTATAATCTTGCAAAACAACGTCTGTTTTACGTTTCGTCTATTTAAAAAAATTATACAGATAATAACTAGGGGAAGAATAAATGAAAACGTGCCAAAGAGTAAGGGAGTACAAATGAAAAAGATTTTACAAGGATAAATTTTCCATTTCACTGAAACAGACGTTAAAAACGTCTATCTTCCCTTCTTTCTTTCTTTCTTTTATTTTCTCACTGAAACCAAGTAGCGTCACTGGTTTGTCTTTTCCGTCTTTCCTCGCGATCAAAACGGAATAGTCAATTATGTATGAGGGAATGACAGGAGGCGTTAAACATTCTATATTCCTTCCTTCCTTCCTTTATATCCTTCCTTCCTTCCTATCCTTATTTTTCTCACTGAAACCAAGTAGCGTTTCTGATTTGTCTCTTCCGTCTTTCCACGTGATGAAAACGGAATAGTCCATTATTTATGAGTTATTGGCTGGAGAAGTTAAACATTTCTATCTTCCCTAAGTTCCTCGCATATTCAGTCCATATTCTCAGTCATATTTCTCTGTTTCATCTGTGATGAGCCGTAAGTTTGGATGTGTCGGAATTGTTAATCAGGGAGCTGAGTTCCAATTCCCATTGGGTTCGTTATATTCGCAAATAAACTTGGGAAAGGTATGTGTCCATCCCTTCTCCCTAGTTATGGGTTAATTAGTAAGACTCATACCACTAAACCGTTATCTTCAAAAAATATTCTTACAATATAAAAATATTTTCTGGCTTTAAAATAACCCGCAAAGGGTTTATTAATCCGTAGAAAACGAAGCAATGAATGAATCAATTCATCTGGGATGAGATTGTCCAATATTCACTGTCATTGAGGCGGGCTGATATTATATATCAGTATAATTCTGTTTTCTTTGGTTTGTGACTTAATTTTCGTGTTTCTTAATACTTTGCTTAGCTTTTGGAAGATATCTTTCGATATTCCAATACGCTTTCGGATTTCTGTGTCACATTTTCCGTTCTCTGTGAGACAACTTCTTAGATATTTCAATTTTCTTCTTTGCCTAGTTTGCCTAAAATTACTCCACTTCTATCAAACACAACCATGAGTTTATTCCAATGTAGCTCTATATTCATAATTAAAATCAGTTTAATAACTAATGCAATAAAACTACTCCACTTCTATCAAACACAACCATGAGTTTAATCCAATGTAGCTCTATATTCATAATTAAAATCACTGTTTAATAACTAATGCAATAAAGTATTTTCTATAAATATTTTCATGGTAATTGTTTGGGTGTGCTCTTCGCTATGGTAGCAAGACTTCATGAATTTAAACGCAGTGCTACACTGGCGTCCAGATCTCATTAATTTACAGTTGAGCTGGCTAGATATATAGCCATAAGTTCTAGGCTAACAGTTTCTTTTCTCGCACTTCTCGTTTGCGGAACTCCCTTCCGGTTTCCATGTTTTCCAGCCAACTTTAATCTCCAAAAATTTAAAGGCAATGCCAATCGCTATCTACTGTCCTTCACACACTTTAAGCCCTTGTGTCTTAGTTGCTTTACTGTCTTGCATGGCGTGATACAGATTTAAAAAATACACATGTAATTCTTTGCCAAACTTGCACGTTCCTCTTTCGGATATTCACTTAAAGGTGGTAGTTTAGTTGATTCATTGTCTTTTGCCAACCGTCCTCGGTATGACGATAAACTACATCCGCGTCCTGGGTAAGACGATAAACTACGTCTGATCAGGAGGCTTTGAGGAGCGTGGAACCACATCTTAATTGCTGGTGTTCCCAGGTCCACCCTGACCCGAGGTGGTAGCACCTGTTAGGGTCCCAGCTGTGAGCAAATAGTTAACCCCCAAACTGGGGTCAAAACACTATGAAAGTGTAAAAATAGGTTTTAATACCAGAGGTAGTTTTATTTTATTTTTTTTTTCCAGCAATACATTTTTGAAAAAAAATATTACCAACAATACATTTAAAAAAAAAAAAAATGTATTACCAGCTATATATTTTTAGAAAAAAAAATATTACCAGCAATAAACAAATTGTTGGCATTAAATAACCCATTGAGGTTGATATGCCCTAAAACAAACCAAACCAAGCCAAACTTTTTGCCAATGTTCATAATAATTCGGTTTACGCCATTTTCCTTGAATATTTTTGGGGTGTCAATTACCTGTTCTTGCATGTCATAGTTAAGGTTTTTTGGGGGTTTTTTACGTCTCTTCTGAAAGGATTTTTGAACTCATTTTTCTTTTTCTTTTTATCATGTCATTTTGTCTCAGTTTTGTTTTTATTGTCCTCTTATGTGTTCCCAACTTTTTTACAATTTTCCGTTGTTATGTTTCAATAACTTTAAAATATTGTGCTTCTTTTGCGGTTATCAATTTCTTACACAACATAAACATCTTAATATATATGAAATTCAGAATAAAAATGAATAACTATACGAGTGTGTATTTAAATACAATGTCAAAGCATTCTCGAGTCGTTTAATAAAATTCACACAAAAAAGAATTTGTAAATATTTCGAATAAAAACAGAAAGTCTCTGAAATAAATTGAAATTCACACAACAGTTAATGGATAGATTTTTAATCCGATATTTTTTTTTTTACTTCAAACGTTATTATTATAGGGGATACTTGTATTTGAAATGGGCAGGGAGCCATGCAGACTGTTTAAAATAAAAGTAAAAATGGGCAACTATTTTGAATATGAGTATCCAATATAGAAACATTTAAGTAATAGATAGATAGATAGATAGATAGATAGATAGATAGATAGATAGATAGATCTAGCTATCTATCTATTACTAAAATATTACTATAGTGGATACTCATATTCGAATTAGCTCCCCATTTCTATCTATCTATCTATCTATCTATCTATCTATCTATCTATCTATCTCAGTCTTTTCATATCTATCTCTCTATCCATCTATTTCAATTTCAACACACACACACACACACACACACACACATATATATATATATATATATCATATATATATATATCTATCGATTTTTATCTATCTATCTATGCCTTTTCATATCTGTGTGTCTATCTATCTAACTGTCTATCTGTCTAAGTCTTTTCATATCTATCTATATAGATATGAACAGACTGGAATAGATAGATAGATAGATAGATAGATAGATAGATAGATAGATAGATAGATATAATAAAATCTTAATACTGAAGTTCACAAAAATTAAAAAATATAAAGTACACTTACGTTCAAGTCAACAAAATATTTTAGATATGTATATGTATGTATGTCTATCTTTCTGTGTGTGTGTATACATATATATAAAAACTGTGCTTTTTTTTAATAAACAATTTACGGTTCTTATTATATCTCGATTCATCATTGATAAATTAAAAGATTTCCCTTAATGACTGAAAATCCTTTCGTAAGCAATGTCCCCTGGGTTACTGCCCTTAAAGCCCACGCCTCTATCCGGTAAGTGTGCTCAGAAATTAAGGCAAGCGTTACTAATAGCATAGACCTGTTTTCTGTATAATACAAATGTGATACTAATGATGTTTTGTTCTACAGAAATGCACTGGAGATATCTTCGACTTAATTTTATTAAATACTGATTGACTTACTAGGAGTGTTTCCGAAAAGTTCCAAGGCTGACCCAGAAATCCTTCCCCAGATGTCAGATTTCAAGCAATGGCTCAGTATGAAAACTTCTTTGCATCTACTCGTTGATTCTTTGAGTCTGAAAGGATGTAAGATGTGGACGTTTTTCTTTACAGTAAAGTTCACTCTGTACAAGGCCTGGGGTCCACTCGAGGTAGAGGGTTACCTTAAGGGGTAGTTTATATGGATAAGAGATGAAGATAACGGTTGCCTCTAGACTTGGACAGTTTAAGATTATACTGATCTGGGAAATATCCTCTAGGTATTCTGTTCCAAAGGGCAGTGGTTCTCGGGAAGAAAATGGTACGACTGTTACAATCTCTGCACATCCGCCATTTAGGTTAAAAGATATGTTGTTAATTGGGGCAAGGAATGGCATATTAATTTTAATATGAAAATACATTGCTAGGTTTGCTTTTAAGAAACTTGGCTCTCTGTGTCGTACTAGTCAATTTTTCTCTCTTTTTATCTATCATACATATCTATTTGTCTGCCATTCGCCCCTGACTCGAATATTGCTGCCATATTAGATATTTTTGATAAGCTCCGAAGACGAATCTGCAATATTATTGGTGCTGACCTGACGTCTCGGCTTTAGATCACCGTAAAGTTGCTTCCCTCTACCTTTTCTATAAATATTTCCATGGTAATTCTTCCTAGTTCTTCCTTATGGTACCTAGACTTTATGAATTTAAGCGCAGTTCTACATTGGCAATAATATTATCATTGTGCTGTTATTGCTACTACTACTACTAATATTTCTTTTAATATTTTCTCAGATAATATCTGGTAATTAATCTATGGATAACAGGCGACAACCAATAGCCTTTAATATCATGCAATTTTACTCTGACTAAATTTCCATCACTTCTGGGTTATTCTTGCTGTTCCTAAGAGGCTTCCTTTCTCTCACAGTTCCACTGGGCAATAAATGTAATTTTTTTTTTTATCCATGTCTCAAATTTGACCTTCTTCAGCTTCTAAAACCTTGCGAGTTCAAACTCTATGGGTCTTTTGCTCTATCCTTCTATCAAAAGGACGAGATGGGTCAATGATTGGCACTTTATTTTCTATTGCATCTTGCACCAATATGTCCTATATGTTGTGTTACCATTTCTTCCATGTTTCTAACTCAAGGGCTTTCACAGGTTTATCCTTGTACTATACATTTTCTCGCTGGGAATGAGAACTCGGAGACCCGAGTTCGAATTGCAGTCAGGTTCATTACATTCACTTACGTGCAAATACACCCTGGAAAGGTATGAATTAATCTCCCTTCCAACTATGGCTTAAATAGTGGAATTTGTATCGGAAACAATTTTTTCTTATTCCCCAAAAATTATTAATACAATATTCTCTCTTAAAAAGGAATTATTCTTACAATCATAAATATGTTTCGGCTTCAAATAATCCACAAAGGTTGATAAGACGTAAATAGCAATAATTCAGTTTCTCGCTGAAAACTCTACTTCTCACACAACTTCCAATGATTTATTTTGACAACATGATCATATCCTTATGTTTTATAGTCAGTCTAGGCTAAAATTGCATATTCACACAAGACCTGTCCTACAGTATTTAAATTATTATTATTATTATTATTATTATTATTTGTGTATGTTATGTTTCCTGCTTTGTATTCTGTAGAACCGTGTCCAAACTATGGTCCTTAGGCCCTATAGGAGAATTGCCATTAAAGTGGTAGCACTTTTCTTAGTATATGTGATGTTCCTAATAAAGCGATCTTCTGGGCAATTTCTATATTGATGTTGCATGGTACATTTAGTAAAATTGTCCATTCCTTTTCTCACGAGGCCAGTTACTATTGGTACAGTCTCGATCTTCATTCCCCACATCCTGTTAACCTCGATTTCCAGGTCCTTGTATCTGGACAATTTCTCAATAATTTTCATGTAGGTGTTTCTCTCAGATGGTACTGCTATGTCAATAAACATGCACTTGCTGAATTTCTTGTCTTTTATGATAATATCAGGTCTGTTGGTTTTTATTTCCCTGTCAGTTTGAATTGGCATGTCCCGGAGGATAGTTACATCGTAATTGTGGGCAACTGTGTCTGATTGGTGCTCACACTATCTCTCAGTGATTTCGATTTTGTGCTTCTTGCATATCTTCCAGTACACATATGTCGCAACCTTGTGTCTGTGGCTGTGGCTATATTCATTTTTTTTTAGTTCCGAACATTCTGAGATATTATTATTATTATTATTATTATTATTATTACTACTACTACTACTACTATTCCCCACCCCCAGAGTGCCAGTAAAAAAAGTGAGGGGGTTATTTATATAGGGACAGACTATTTGTCAGAGATTCTGAGTCGTGGGTGGTGTTGCAAGTTTGAATATGAACACTAAAATTATTCCACATTATTCTCACAGGTGGATCAAATGATTTTCAGGGTCGGTAGACAACCTCTACACAGGGTCGGGGCGCATTACTTCCGAACTCTCTAACCGAGGGGAAGCCTTTCTCGGGGACTCCAAGCAGTGCTTTGTGACCCTCGCCATCTTATCAACATTTTCCGCTTTTCTTTCTACATTTATATACGTGACAAACTGAAGTAAGCACAACTATTAAAGGATGAAAAATTTTCGCGGGTTTTGAAGTCATTCTTGCGGGTTTCTTTTTTTTAGATTGTGGGAAACGAGACCCTTGCACCGGACTAACCTCCACTCTGACCCCTTGGAGTATCTGTGACCTCTGGCTGTCATGAAAGTATCTGTGACCTCTGGCTGTCATGAAAGATATAGTTAAAATTGGTATCTAGATAGATAGATATGACTCTGTGAAAGATAGATCACATAGATATATCTATCTCTAGATAGATATAGATAGATAGATAGATAGATAGATAGGATGGAATAGATAGATAGATAGATTTAGATAGATAGATAGATAGATAGATAGATAGATAGATATGAAAAGAGATAGATAGATAGATAGATAGATATGAAATAGATTTAGATAGATAGATAGATAGATAGATAGATATAAAGATTTAGATAGATAGATGATAATAGATAGATTTAGATAGATAGATAGATATAGATAGATAGATAGATAGATAGATAGATAGATAGATAGATAATAGGATTTAAAGATTTAGATAGATAGATAGATAGATAGATAGATAGATAGATAGATAGATAGATAGATATGAAAAGATTTATAGATAGATAGATAGATAGATAGATAGATAGATAGATAGATAGTATTAGATAGATTTAGATAGATATGTTTAGATCGTTGGAGAACAAGATAGATAGTATTAGACTTTGATGTTTTCTCACCTCTGCAACCGATTTTCACTTGAGACTGCTATGCTTTGAATCGTCTATGCTCCCTACCTAATCTACAGTCCTTCTTAATAATAATAATAATAGTTGTAACCAAGTAAATGGTTAAGAAATAACAAAACAAGAGGTTGCAGATAAATCGCGTATTGAACAGTAAATACAATAGAAAAGTATGACTCGACTTGGGAGTGTGTGTCAGTTAACCGGCGTTCAATCTATACAACTGTTCCCGCAAGGCTTACTAATTTTATAGTAAGTGGAAGAGTCCACAATAAACTCATTAGAGGGTGGACACCACCACAACAATAATAATAATGGTAATGTTTCTAAGGATTCTTATAAGAGTACTTAACTATTAGCATTTTGTAGGTGACTGTTTTCGCCGAGCAAAATGTTAGTCCTGCCAATACAAGTTGAATTTGAATTTCTTGGTTGTGTAGCCATAACCTTCTATGGCAACACCTAAAACTATATCGAATGAAATCGAGTGCCGGGCTACTGCAATTTCAAATATTTGGAACTAATATATAAAATATATATTTTTTGAGGAGTTTTTGAACAATTAAAGGGAAGTGATATTTATAAATGATGCAATGTGCTAAATATTAAACCGTTGTTATTATTATTATTATTATTATCTTCTTCAGCACGTTCTTTTTTTTTTTTTTTTTTTTTTTCAACCGGAGATCTAGTACCATAGATATTCTCCATCAAATCATACGACATCAAATAGATAGGCACCTTTCGCGAAATATGTGCAGAGTCAAGTGATGGGATACTATGCTTTATTCCGATTTTCTTAATGTAGGTATTTAAATTCGGTTGTATAGACCCCAACTCCCCCAATGATAACGGGAACAATAGTGGCTTGAATGTCCCATATTCTGACAAGCTTATTCCAGAGGTCAGTGTGCCTTGTAAGCATTACAATTTCATTAACCTTGACATTATACTCACTGGGAACAGCCACATCGACGACGAGGCATTTCACTATAATTATTTTATTTCCTTTGATTTCTGGTGTATACTCTTTGCTTTCCAGGTCCCAACCAGAGACCTAGGGCCAGAAATGGCATCGACATTTTCCACTGTGCATTTTTATAAAAAAAAAAAGAAATAAATAATACACATTTTACATAGATAAATCTCTTCGTAAGGCCTGAAATGTACTTGTGAGTACATTTTTTTGTATCTATTTAAAGCAAGAACAATCAGGGATCACTTCAATGATTTACTTTTACATAGATAAAACCCTTCGCAAGGTGTGGGATGTACTTGTAAGTACAATTTTTGGTATTTCTTTAAGGGAATAGGTATCCCTTCAATGTGTCTATTGGAATCAATCCGCGCGCTTCAACTACAACTGGAGTTGTTGATGTCCTCGTGTGCCACATTTTTGTTGCTATTATTATTATTATTATTATTATTACATGTATTTATTTAACTTTCATCCTGTAGAGGTTGACACAAAATGTTGAATTTCGCATTCAAAACAAATGAACACTACCTTATTTACATTATTCGGACTATTGTCCTCATCTTTGTCGCCATATTTATCACAACGTTTCGGCGGTTGTACGCTCCGGCCTTCTACAGGTGGTTGAAATTTTGAACTGAACCCTTTATTTCGCTCCCTGGGGTAGACTGTTCTAGTTCCACGTGTCATGTTTGATGGATGTCAGTTATCAGTTATCTCCTGTTAATTTCCCTCTGAAAGTTCTCCACTGCCTTAACCGGGTATTGAACTCACACTCTTTGGGTCCTGTCACTGGATCTAACCAACGGCACAGTGGATAAAGGCGTTGGTTAGATCCAGTGACAGGACCCAAAGAGTGTGAGTTCAATACCCGGTTAAGGCAGGAAGAACGTTCAGAGGGGAATTAACGGGAGATAACTGATAACTGACATCCATTAAACGTGACATGTGGAACTAGAACAGTCTACCCCAGGGAGCGAAATAAAGGGTTCAGTTCGAAATTCCAACCACCTGAAGAAGGCCGGAGCGTATAACGGCCGAAACGTGGTGATAAATATAGCGACAAAGATGAGGACAATAGTCCGAATAATGTAAATAAGGTACATAATACCTCATCTCAGAAATATAGACAAATAAATCAACACTAGGCGAACATTGTTTTTAAAGGGTTTTTTGGGGGTTTTTTTTTTTTTTAATAGAAACTTGTATCTTGTTGGTGAGACAGTGTACATCGAAACAGAGAGAAAATCCACCTTCTTTGTAGTAGACAGCTGTCTTAATTAATTCTTTGATGGGGTAGAATGGATTGGACCAGTCTGTCCCATTTTCAAGCGATAGGGGAGAGAAGACTGACCTCGAGCTTTTGTTCTTCTTGGGTTTATATTGGAGTTTTGAGGAGTGCGGATGAATTGTCCTTAGCTTTGGTACTGGGGCTTTGATTTGTTGCTTCCAGTTATACAAATGTCCGCTTTCAGAAACGAAGCTAACTGGTTAAACTGCCCTTAAGAATGCCTGTGTTTATGTTAATGAGATGTTAAGGAGATGATAAATAAATGAAACCTTTTAGATTTAAAAAAAAAAGTGGGGGGGGGTATTTTATTTATCAAACTTTGCATGCTACTAAAATTTCATTCGTAGCTTTCATGTGACAGCAAATCGGAGAACCGAGTTCGAATTCCAGTCGAGATCATTGCATTCACTTACGTGCTAATACCCTTGAGAAAAATATGAATCCATTTCTTCTACCTCCTCCCAGCCATGGGATAATAGCAGGACAAACTAGATTCTACAGCCTTGGATGGCAACAGGTGTTGGAGAAGGAAAACTCTGAATTCGAAACTGTATGTAGCCCTGGCGAAGCACATTCTATGTAGTTATGGAACGGATCTCTCGCATTGACTGGATGACCTCGAGTATAGTCGACTACTTTTGTTTGGATTGTTTTGATTCTTATTCGGGTCCCTAATTCTTTTCTTACCTTTACACAGTTTTTCCTAGCTATTCCAGGCACGCCAGCAATGATGGATATAAGTGATTTTTTTTTTTTTGACTTTTTTCTTTTTTTTTTTTTAAAAAAAATGTTTTTCATAGCTTTCAAACATCACTTTATCCTTCATGTTTTAAAGAAACAGTCCCATCCACTCACTGACATGTGTTTATTTATTTTTCTACTAAAAAATATCTTTGACGGACTTCACATCTGATTTGGGCGAGCCATTTATTCAAATTCGGTTGCAGAATCGAAAAACAAAAATAAACATTTTTTTTTTCTTTAGTAATTTCTAACAGATTATTCGTTTTGCTAAGATATTTTGAGACTTCATATATAAATCAATACAATACATTTTTCAAATTTACTCTCTTCGTCATCTAAAAAAAGAAAATCACTCAGCCATTTTTATTTTTATTTTATCATCATTTCTTTAATGCTCCGAAAAAAAAGAAGGGGTCTTCATTATCCCCCACATATTCTTTTTCTTTAAGTTATCTATTCACAAACCCAAACATCGGCAGATCGAGCACACTGGCACATAGAACTACGCACAAAACTTGCCTATCCTGAATGTATCCATTACTGGTTAGGTGAGTATAGAGATGATACGTATGTATTGGTTCCTCCTTCTAGCAAGCTAACGAACACTCCTCCTTCTCCTACTCCTACTTCCTTTACATTCCTCTTTCTTTTTTTCTCTCCCCTATTTCATCCTCCTCCTCTTCCTTCTCTAGTGTTGCTACTATTATCCCCAACACCAAGGTAACAACAACATGAAAGTGCATCGTTTGTCGCTTCTCCTACTACAACATGGAGTTTTTTTTAACACTTATTAATTCGACCAGTCACCACCACCACCACTACTTTAACCAACGCCGCCCCTAGTTTGTTTGGACATTGACCACTTCGCTACATTTGTCATTGCCACTAAATTTAACAGAAAGAAAAAAAAAAACACTGATTGATTACGTAACTTTGTAGCACAAGTTAAAAAAATGGCAATATTTGCCCGACTGCATTTTACTTTGGATTTTACATCGGGTTTATGGCGATAGAAAGAAAAGAACATCAAAAGTAAAGTCAAACAAATGGCTTCAACGTTAGACTATTCGTACTACTATTTCCCCTAAACAAGAACCACTACAAATTCAAATATCTTATTGATAAAATTACTGCCCCTGCTACTTGTTCTAAACGTTCACGTGCCCCCCGCAACTGCCTCTTCATGTGGAGTTTTCGCTTATAGGGACCTACGCAACACACACGTGTTGAAACAAAAACTCGATTTTCAATATTTGTCAGATTTTATTGGACGACATTCAATTCGCTAGTAAGCAGGAAGAATTTTTTTTTCTTAAGAAAAACAACAACAAACATTAATTAACAAACAAGATCACAAACAAACGAAAACACACAAGGAATTGTTTTTGTCTGCTTTTTTTATTG